CTAGGTACGGGTCCAGCCGTGCTATCCACCTGAGTCCTCCCTGCCTCCGGCCTTCTTGACTCTGTCTTGACACCAGGTCCAGCTGGGGGAGGAGAGGAGAGTACGGTAGATGCTGTGCAAGACTACTACCGCTATAAACTAATTCACGCACAAGCGACTGTGCTTGCTACCATCATGATATGGAGCACGCAGCGGACATCGTCGACAACGACGGTCGAACTGTCGTGAGTCAACTTCCACTTTGTCGGCCTAACACGGAAATATGGGCTCCGTGGTACTACATCTGTCCTCTCACCAGATTCCAGGATGGTTCTCATTTCAGTGCACTAACCCAAATCCTAATCCTAATCATGAGCCAACACTAACCCTCCTGGAATTTAGTGCTGGACCCCGCGTAGTGCAAGGGCGGGTCGACATGCCTATGGCCAACCCCAGGCGGCCCTCTGCCCCTCTTAGGCTTACAAAACCAAGAACGTTCACAACGAAGACGGCGTAGGAAAGTTTGCCAGAGGGATCAGCCAGAGTCAAGGCGGCCAGCGCTGACATCAGTCTAGTGAATAACTTGCATTCAAAAAATTGCCGACATATAAAAGACCTCTCTCAGTGCATCACTTCAAAGGCTGCTTACTTGCGACCCCGCCAGTCATTGTTTAGATGGAAAGGGGAAAATTAAAGCCCACGACGTCGCCTAAACTACCGAGAATTTGACTGGCTAGCGTAAACTCTGCAGTTGAAGCGAAAACTAATGGTTTCTGACAGGGCGGCTTATGCGGGTAATCGCAGCAGACTAAAAAAGAACGAAACAGACACGTTCACAAAGCCCTCTGAAATGACTGGCCTTCAGAGACTTGAAGACTTTTTGGGATAATTAGTCAATCGTGAAGAATTCTCCGCGATTGCCTTTGAATGAGATTGTTTATGGTAGGCGGACTACGACACAGGCCTTGTTTAATTTCCGAGGAAATTATTGCGCGAACTTGGAGTAAATCTTTCGAAAGGGGCCTTTTCAGGCACGATCCAAATAAAAGGCCCCTTTCAAAAGATTTAGTCCAAATTCGCGCATTAATTTCCTCGGAAATTAAATAAGGCAAGTTGAAACTGGAGTTCATATACCGGAAAACACAGAGAGAAAGCTGAGGTACCCACTGACGAGCCGAAATTCACGCAGTTGCGTCAGGCAGCGGCAAAAAACGGCAAAACACACGTGTCTGGGCTTTTAGCTAATACCTGTGTTGTTAGTACGGTAAATTATTGCACAATGCTATACTACTGGCTGCCTGTTGGCGGTTTGTGAATATTAAGCGGTTATTCCGCAGTAGCTGATGGATTTCAGCTCAAATATTCATATCAAATTTCGGACCGTGCCTGAGAAGGCCTGTTTCGAAAGAGTTACTCCAAGTTCGCGCATTAATTTCCTCGCAAATTAAGCAAGGCAAGTTGAAACTGGAGTTCATATACCAGAAAACACACGGAGAAAGCTGAGGTACCCACTGACGAGCCGAAATTCACGCAGTTGCGTCAGGCAGCGGCAAAAAAACGGCAAAACACACGTGTCTGGGCTTTTAGCTAATACCTGTGTTGTTAGTACGGTAAATCATTGGACTACGACACTTTTCGGGTAGATTACGAACGGTATCAATTCAGTTTTTTATTGTTTCTCACGAGTACTAATGAACCAAATTTTCACGGGCAATATTCAGAGGACGAGTTTCGCTTGAATTAAACCCGCGCAACTAAAAGTCGAAGGGTGTCTCTAGAACGTAATGTCCTACGGTGATCTCGGCGGTGGAGTCATATATATTCACTCAACTTCTGAGAAGAAACACGTAAATGAGAGAATAAGATCTGAAGGGAAATTGTAACTTTAGCATTTTCCGCAAAGCGTACTTTGACTGTCATGGCTGAGATACAAATAAAAATTCCCAAAAGAGAACACGTTCACACACCGGTGGTCTAGCAAGCACAACTAAACACTACCCACTCCAAAGGAGACTATAATGCGTGTATACACCTTTACTATTCCCTTTGTATCCTTGTTACCCGTTTACATAATTCATACCTAAGAATATTCTACTTATGTTTGCTCTCTGTTTTCTTATTATCTCAGTATGTGTGTTGCTGGCCAAACCTGTTCAGGATCAACAGCAGGTACCTAATATGCGTTTGTGTGCCAACATCAACCTCTTCGACAGCTACCAGTAGGTTATGGTTTGGGGTTAGATTTAGGGGTCACTGTTAGGGGTTAAGACAACTATTTCTCAACCACTCAAAGTACAACCGAACATTCCCAACAGCTATTCCTTTGTATGCAATTACTTGATCTTGTCTTCTGTGCTTTCCCCGGCCCCACCTGTAAAACCACTATCACGGTCCTGTGTTGCAGGTGTCTGGGGTCTGTTTACCTCAGGTGTGGCTACCTAACCACATTTGACCTACATATTTTAAGTAGAATATTCATAATGGACAATGACTTGTGCTTTTGGTGAGAGATGGTTTATCTTGTCAAGTGCAATTTGCACGTGTTTGGAAGAGTTGTCAGCCACAGATGAATAACTTGTTTTATTAGTAACACTGTAGCTGTTTATATGCCGTTTTCCGTGATTATAAGCCTAGTGATCAGTTCAACTATGCAGTTCTTGATTTCTGGCACCCGACATATGAATATATCAATATTACCATAATTTTTTTATGGCCAATGCGATTAAATTCGGCTGTTTTTATCGATGTAATTTAAAATTGTTAAAGACGTCAATGGAAAGTACGGCACAGAATACTGAAAGAAAAAATATAAAGTATTCCTTAGATCGAATGTGAGATATTTTCGTTTGATAAAACCACAACCGTTTGGTCTCACCCGGGTTTGACCTATATGCTTGGTTCATTTACAGCGGTGAAGAACTCATCTACAAAGTGGCAATGCTTTGAAAGACATCCATCAAAGCAACTTAAATTGGAAGGCTATGCACTGATTATTGAACAAAATATTTGACCCTACGCTTCGGTCTAAAAAACACCTTCAAATCTCTTAACCCAATTGCGAGCAGCGTGGAATTACTGACAAGTTTAGGATCCCACTAATTCTATACGGTCGCCTCAATTGGTCGACTCCGCTGCTTCTTTTTCGGCTTAGTCACTCAACGCCAAATGTGTTCTTTCATCTATAAAACATGTTCACCTTTATCGGGAATGTTTACCTAGGCGCACACTTAGCGCATACGCTCTAGGTCCATTTTAAGTTTTGGATAGCGGTGGATACAGTCTGATTTAGAAATAAGATAAGGTTTTTTTCTGGTCAGGCATCCGTATTAGTCCCCAAATTAGTCTGACATTAATAATGGAAATGGTTTGGAAAATTTGTCATTTACGAATTTTTTAAAATCTCTAGCATCATTCTGCAGGTTAGTCACCTGTCGTTTTTAAAAAAGTGCATTTCCTGTTCAGAGCTTAAAATAAGTGCGCAGTGGAGCCGTTTGCTAGTAAATTTGCATATATTTTCACAGACTTATGTGGCACATATTATGCTATCGACAGAATGACATATACAAACGGAAATCAGCATATATACAATTTTTTTATGTAAAAATGCGAGTAACGAAAGTTTTTGCAGACAAACTGACCAACGTTTTGAGATACCATCTTACCTGTAAATCAGCAAGCACCAAACATAACTTCATATTAACCAATTTGCGCCTCAAAGCCATTCATCATTCACGCAATATGCGTATTCCGATCGGATAGTTGATAATGCTCAAAAATGTTTTAATTAGCATGGATCTAAATGTTAACTTTAGACTGCAATGTCAGCCTACTCTTGTAAAAGAGAATTCAAGCTCAAACCCTGCGATGCAATTATGCCAGCACAAGTAAAGACGCCCGAAATAATTATATGAAAATGCGTAAACGCTTCGCCTCGGTTCAAACATAATTAATACTATTCTCAATTGCACAGCGCTTCCGAGACGTTTTGACGTATTTCTGTAAAATTATCATATCTCTTTATGTTTTTGGGTAGTTTTGCACTCTTCCGCTGCCTTCTTGTCAATTGACTACTTTTCTTCTAATAAGCGCTTTCCAGATAGTAGAACAAATGCTGTAAAAAATATGGAACTCGCAAAGCTCTCTTTATGTTAACGTTCATTGACACTGATAATTTTTCATTCCCACTGAGATTAAAAAGTTTTTATCCAAAATTGTGAACTTCGCGTATTTTGACGATTTACTTAAAACAATATATATACAAAACAAATCGTAAAACGACGCCAGTATTAGATAATCTGCGTTTCAATGCCTATCCGTGCCTCCTCATCCGTCTTCTGGGTGACATCCTGATTAAAGTCATTTTTGATCTCCAGACCGCGGAATATCATGGGGTTATTGGCCTCCACCGGTCGCAGGTCCAAGTAGCAGGGTGTCAGCAGACTGGTCAGGAGGGCGGGTGAGGAGCTGATTCCGTTGTTGTTGTTGTTGCAGCTTCGGGCCTGACGAAGTGCATCAAGTCCCGCGCAGGTTGAGGAGCATCGACGGTAGATGAGGAAGGCTGCAAACACCAGGCAGCAGAAGACGCTGGAGGCGATGAGGGAGGTGACAATGCACACGATGAGGCCATGTTGCAGGCTGCCTGAAGAAATGGACAATTCCGCAGCCCGTTTCTGCTCAGCTCGGGAAGTAATCATCAGGGGTTTACTGTCTGCAACTGGGTTGAAAAAACACATGTTTAACAATGGCGAATATACTGTTACATAAGGCTAGGAAAGATAAGATTAAGGCGATTTTGTTACCAAAAGCATTCTCTTTTAAAAGAATTCAACACCGGAGTTGGCGTCCATTCAGAAGACGTCGTAAACGGGTGCACGCTTAAGAATCCCCGGGAATACTTTATCCCGCATAAAGTATCGTAATTAAATAAATTGTTCATTGTCAGAATTTTGGGTGTCTACAGGAAACTGCAACCAAATCTGTCAATTTGCAAATTGGGTTTACTTGAAATATCAACACATTCAAGAACTGCCGTATGTTTCTAGGCATTTGCATTTAAGAAATGCCGCTGCTAACACTGCGAAGTGTATATAAATAATCAGCAAAAAATGATATTGATGTATGCGTCATAAATAAAATTTATTAAGAAGGTAAGGTCAGTCTTAAGCAGCGTTAAAATTTCATTCGCGTAAATATGAGCTCTCTGAGACATGATGCAACTGCACGATGTCGGATTTACTCATGAAAACACCTATGTTTGATACAATCTGAAAAGGTCATTTTCTTTTTTTCTTTGCCCACAACCCAAAACAAGCTTAAGTTTTACGTCACTAGCGTAGCTACGATTTATTTAGCTTGTTTTAACTAGACAATTTTGCCTCCTTATGGCCGTAACCCAAATGCGTACGAAGTTTGCTCAATCAATCAGATGATATCTCTTGCCTGTAGACCAACTGTTTATGTTACATTGAAGACAAGGCTCCTTTCGGATGACTTTGATCTCTGAAAATATTATTCCAAAGTGAATACTCTTAGGCAGCTTTGTCATTGTTATTGTACGTTAATTGACTTTATCTACAAACTCTGTTGTCCAGAGATTCGTCTCCTGAATTTTTTTCCGTCACAAGATTTAAAAATACATGCAATACGAACTCTCAAAAAAACCTTTCCCAGTAAATGCATATAAAGAGTACATCTTATGCATCTGCAATACTTTAATTTTCGTGTTTAACCCTGGACAAGAGCACTGACAGCAAGAGAAAATCCGTAGGCAATAGAGTAATTATTTAATACTGCCTGTATTACGAATAATTACCATATCACCGATCATGCTTGAAACTGACTGGTTTACACAGCTAAACGTTCTTTTGTGTGTAAGTAAATGAATCTTGTAATAACATATGCCGTGGTGTAGTTAATTGAAGGCAAAATGAAAGAAAACATCCAAATTAATAAAATGTCGCTTAAATCAATATTGTTTTTGCGCTAGTTTAACAGTGGTCCCCTAGGAGCTGTTAACCACTCCCGATAATGTATTTACTCGGATCGTCGTGATGCAGACATTTTTTTACAAACGATGCTTTTGCGTAGTAAAAAGTAGAAGCAGTTAAAATGGCTTTTACTGGCGTGCAGAGCACGTACTCCAAAAACGTTAGAAACGTGCCCAAAGAGGTCCTTTTGCAAACAGAACGTGAAACACTTTCACTTTTTCACATGAAAAATATTGTTTGGCCGTATGGTGACTCTCTAATTTAGACTAATCTTTTGGACTCGCAATCGGATTATGGAATATGACGGGTTAAAAATAAGTTACAAACTGTTTTAGCATTACGACATCGTACCTGATTCAGTATTTTGCTTTATACTAAGAATGAAGACACACGTATGGTATACTTTTTGGCATAACAAGCAATTATTTTAATATTGAACTAACTTTTGAGAGAGACTTCTGGCTAATTATTGAAATGTTTATAATGTAATGTTGCACTGACCTATCTCAATACCATTTCTGTGCTTAGATATCTTGTTAAAAAAGTGTTAAGTTTAGAAGGCATCGCATATACTTTTGTCAGTTATGTATGCGTTACGTCCGTAAAACAACTTCATTTTAGTTGGCGTATGTTCACACACCGTTTACTATCTGCTGAAGGCAAAAGACGAATAATATTGTATCCAGTGGAACTTTATTTAAAGAATCTTCTAAAGCTTGCACCTGCCTATATTAGGGATGTTTATAGCTTTTTACAACAGAAGGTCTTTTTGCACATTATGGCAAATTCGCATTTGCTTGTAAATAAACGCAAGCAAACGCAGATATTGACAGGTATTTAATTTTGCATTTGTTTTGAAAACGCTTTTGGCATCTTGAGTGTGATTGTCAGGCACGACGTGCGTCTGGGGAGCCAAAAAATCAACTTTGTTTATAAAGTAGTTTTCACAAGTTCCCTATCTTGAGTTTTAAGTGAATAAATGACCTCGAACCGCCACTTATGAAGTTATTTAGAAATTCGGATCCAAACAGAACTGCGTTTGCATTTTAAATGTCGCACGTTTGGGAAATCCAATCGTGCAACAGAAGGTAGCACTTTTAGTCAACACATTTAAATTCTGCATATTTGTCAAAACAAATATAACAGCCATGTGTGTTAACAATGCCACCTTACTATGTTTAACGCAAAAATTTGATAGCTATTGTGCTGAAATTTACCCTATGCACATTATTAGTTATGACTCTAGTACGGATTTAAAAGTTATGACATGTAGCATATGCTTTGGGTGAACAACTACTCTTCTTAGCTGGTAAGGCAAAATATTGCACCAAAAAATAGCAGTGAAAAATATGGACTATTTCAACTTAAAATCCACTCACATATTCTTGTAACTGCCAACACATTGTAATGTATGAAATTAATCATTCTAATTTTCAATTCATGTAGACAATTTACATAACAAGGACATTTGACTCTGTTAAGCACAAAAATTTTGCAGTGCTTCTGCTGAAAACTGTCGTGTGCTCACTACCGGTTACGTCTCCAATATCCTTACAAGCAAGGGCTGAGAATAGAGACTGATTCCATTGAAAATCCACTAACGCACTCCTGCAACTCCCAAAATATTTTACTGTGAAATTAATTCTTAAAATCGTCAGTAAATACAGAAAATCTACATGAAGTTTTAAAAACCTAAGTCCCTAAACGTGATAACTAAGAGGAAATAAATTTACTGTAATTGTCATGTGAGTTAATTCACGGGGAAGAAGAACAAGAACAGCAGCTGCCCTCGTGGATGCACTTGTCAAACGAAACCTTAACGGTGAACTTGAAACAGCAGTTTATAGGAAGGCGATAAACACCACACAACTTCTCAGTTTTCCCAGCAACCATCTGGTGGCTCACAAACGAAGCTGATTGAAGACGGTCTTCAAACGGATCCAAACTCATTGCAGCAAACCGGAGGGCAGAGCACGTGAGGCCCGTTATCTCCGCAACCAGTTTGTGCAAAATGGCAATTCGAGGGCATTCATAAATCGCTGTCTGCGCGATCGCACCAGAGGACTCGAACATCAAAACCACCGACGATATGGCATTCTCTGCTATACATAAAAGGCGCTTCAGAATCGACCGAGCGCATTGCCACGGAGCTAAGTCTTGGAATTGCCTACCGCCCCAAAGCCATCATGCGCGAAAGGATTATGAAAATCAAAGACCGGTTAGTGCCTGAAGAGCAATCTGGAGTAGTGTATTGCATCGCGTGTCAAAACTGTCCTTTTAACTACACAGGACAGGCTGAATGCATGCTCAGATCGCGCATACACGAACATAGGCTGGCTGTGCTACGAGAAGACGCATTATCATAAGTGGTTGTCCACACCTGCGAAGTGGGTCACGAGTTTAACTTAACAGCCGCCAAAATAGTCGGCCACGTCGGAAACAAAACAAGTCGCGAATTAATTGAACTGTAGGCCATGGATGAGAACTCGGTCTATCGATTTATCGATCTGGCGCCGGCGTTCAGAGCCCTGCGTAGTCACCTCCAGTCTTGCGTTTCAGTCGATGATTGGCCTACATGCCTTATAACTGTCACTTGTTCTGTTGCTGTCACTACCTCTGACGATACGCTCTTGCACGATTCCGAGGGATCAAGACAATAAACAAAATGTTCCAGTGCTCTAAACCTCTTCTTCTCCATTTATGCATATACCTCGAACTCTAAATGTTGCCTTGGACTGTCCATTCATTGGGGAATAGATAGGACGACTAACTCAAAAAATTCCATGAACTTTAGTAAGACCAAACGCAACCATATTTTTAAAAGTGTGCTTTACCCGAAAAAATACTCACTGATTAAAATGTGTATGGAAGGTCATAATCAATCATTCGAAAGCGCCTCAGTGCAGTATCCGTAAAAATGTATTTTAGTTTGTAGACAGTCCTTTAAAATGGAGCTTTGCGAGCCCAGTCCTAAAGACAATATAAGTTGTCTAGCCGAACTCAGTCCGCTTCAACGACATAACCGAATAATGCCTATAAGCTGCTGACAATCAATCAGCGGTACGCACAGGTACTACTTGAAACCTCGCACGTGTTTTTCTGACACTATCACTGCATGACACAACTATGTGTTCTTCGGCTGATTAGGGCTTCCCCAGCGGTTGCCGTGGGCTTTCTGGTAGATACCCTAGTTCGCAAATATCAACTTTTTAACCGATTCAACTTCCAAAACCTGCGCATGAATATAAATTTCAAATGATTTACTCCTAGATAGAACACTGATTCCTAAAGAGATCAAATATCTGCAATTTTGAAATTGCTGTGTCTACTTCAATGCGCGTGGAGAAGATGGGAAGGTGACGGTATGGTGTAGGACCCCAACTATCTTGAGGTAACCAATGGACCGTGTTATGCAAGAATTGTGACAGAGGGAGTTTACCGATGGGGCAAAACGTAAAACGGAGAGAAGGGGGATTGCAAAAAACAGGAAACATTGCTAAGCTTCTGTCAAAAATTTCATCTTACGCTGTCCGTGGCAACGAGTGTAAGCGCGATAAATTAAAAAACCAAAAGGCATTATTCGGAAAAAAGTAACATTTGAATTAGCGGCATCTGATAGGTTTGCATTCAATCAAGAGTGCAAGGTAACCGTAGGACTTAGAACTTATGTAATTGTTGCATACAAAACAGTCTACAGGCTACCTCACGCTATTTGGAGTCCTACATCGTACCGCTGCCGATGGAAGTTTCAATGATAAGCTGAATATCGACTAAATATTTATCTCTGTTTTAGCTTGTATTCATGCGGTTCGTAGGGTAAGTTAAAATCAATGTGCCTTCTTCCAGACATCTGTTGGCAGTTTATGAATTTTACAAGGTTATCACTTTGTGCCTAATGAATGTCGGCCTAAATATTCATAGCAACACCTGGAATGTGCCTATAAAGTTTCCTTTCGAAAGAATAAGAAACCTGAAAGTGCGGTATTTTGAGGCATAAATGGCCCAAACAATAATCCCAAACACATCAGAACGCAACGACAATAGTAAGAGGGGCAAAAAGTTGAACTTCCACGTAAGTAGACTGAAACCCAATATAAGCAAGGGTTAGAACGCAAATTCGAAATTAAATTAATTATATTAACTTAAAGTAAACAATTAAAATGTCATTTAATGGGCTGCGGTGACTTTGCTGTACTTGACTGACTTGAATTAAGCTCGCACTTATTGCCTACTTATCTATTTCAAGTTAAAGTAAAGCATTTTGCCAGGCCATCTTCGCTTTGAATGAAGGTATATGTTCTGCATAATATTAGACTTTACGTATGTATGCTCACTTCATGAAAATGTATATAATATCATAGCAGGTAAATGGCTGTGTCATGACATCATTTCAACGAGGCTTACGACAAGCTTTAGCGCTCCGGTTGAAGTGGAAGTCAAAAGGACAAGTGCACTGACCGACGCCGGGATGACAAATACTCCTCCTGATCTGCCGGCACTCAGTGTCCCTCTCGCAAACCTCATCTGAAACAACTGACAGAAGAAAACCAAAATATTACCATGTCACTTAGAAAAAAACACTAAGCAGGTGAATGTTGGAAACTGAGACATAGTTAACCGTGTGTTAGGCCAAATATTCACCCATTTATTAAAATAAACCTCGTATTGACTAATTACACACGCCTCAAGATTGGGCGCATAATCTGCAGTAACAGTTTCGGTGGGCGATTCTTGTTGTGTTTCTCATTACTCGGTTTCTGTTTATAGACATGCTACTCGAAAAAAATTGATGCTCTGAAAGATTAAAAAACTAGCCAGTACTTTGCCATTAGGTAAATGAGAAGTGGAAATATAACTTCCGCACTAGATGTATCGGCCTGAATTTATGGAAATCAAATTAACAGTAATTATTCGCATGCACAATAGCGTAGGAGCCCTAAATAGCTTCGCTTAATAAAAAATAAACATCCTTAAAACTTGTCTACAGACAAATCTGATATACGAAAGTCATCGTTTTCCTGTAAGTCACTCTGACGTCGTATGCTGTGGATGTCAATTCAGATTGTGTAAAGACGATTCACTTATATTGTTTGCATATTATTTTATAGGTCGCCGTAAAATATGTGGACAAATGTGATGAGTATTTTAGTTTTGCATACACAGTGAAACATAATTTGCTGGTTTGTCTAGGCAATAAACACGGTCATCCTGTTAGTCTTGGTGTCGTACTGCTCTAAATTTATATTCGGTCTGTCAATTTATGAGACAAATAAATTGACAAATCACTTACATTTAAGAAACGGTGAAAGTAGGTCAAAAATATCTATTGTGACTTGCTTAATGTATTGTTAGAAAAATTCATGTAAATTATCAGTTGGCCTTCCTTCTACAAAAAGCTCAAACGGTACTAAAATCAATGAATTAAAAAAATTCAAATAAGTCGATAATTAAACTGCAGCTCGGATTTGGGGAGGGCAGGGTAAGGGGGAGAATGAAACAGCACAATTCTAGCCAACGCCAAGGAGAAGGAGGGTCCTGGCGAAGGCTACTGGTTCGGAGGTTTTGACTCATGACAACTGCGGAACCTGTATGAAATTATTCTGTGCGCATAGGACCGGTCTGCGTAGTCTAATTGCAGTCGCACCTGCCGTAGCCAACAAGCGCTGCCCAAGTAGTTTTGGATAGCTTGGTGGGAGTTTGTAAATAACTCTGACGGCCCCTCTGGCGTCTACACGGTGGTCTGTGTCTACCATGTGCGCGAGGATTGGGCTGTTGATGCTCTTTATTTGACCCTTTCCTAACCGTGCTGGAAGATACTCTTTTATTCTTTTTGGATAAACGCCGGCTCGTGCGACCAATATATTCTGCCCACAGAAGCAGGTGAAGGAGTAAATAAACATATAGGTGGTCTGAGCTGGTAGTTTGTCCTCGTCCTTAATTATCTACTAGCCCGTATTTTTTAATTCATTTCTTCATTGCAAGCCTGGAGAGAACTTATCAAAAGCAGACGTATGTACGTCAAATTGTCTTTTTAAATTTACAATGGGAATTTTTGCAACTCTGAAGCTAAAAGTGTATATCTCATAGTTCATTTTTAGTAAAGAGATGTGGGGACGTTCAGGACTGATTTACATCGTCCATACCAAGGATGAAACTAAAGAAAACGTGCATCCCTAAACGAAAATAAAAAATGGTGCCGCAAAGAAATAGATAAGTGGACTCTAACTTACCTGTTTATTTTGAGTTGACCCTTGCCAACATACTTTAGCCGTGCGATAAGTATTACAGATTAAAAATTTGCACAACATCAATTACGATATAAGACAGTCATTTCGCGAAATTATACTACAGCCCTATACCATATACTTCCTATTTTATGCATTTTGCAAATTCTGATACGTATTTCAGGACAAACATTCTAAAGCGAGACTTCGACGTTTATTATCTGCTGAAAAGAGCTTATTCTGGCCTTTATGCTGCCAGTCTATCTCGTGATATGCCGACCGAACTTCTGATTTGATTAAAAATGATTATTTTAATAGATTGTTCATATCAGTTTTCAAGCAACACAGACGCACGATGTTCTAGTAATACTGAAATGACGGATTCTAGATGGACTTCATAATGGTCGTCCGTAGAAGTTCATGTTCAATAAAACAACCGTTTACGTAATGCGACTTTCCCCTGATTTTGGCAAAACTGACTAATTTGGCCACCCAAACAAAGCACGAAAGCAGAAACTGCCTTGAACTAACTTCCAGTAAAATTCTATTAAATTAGCGGTCATGTTTGAGGCTAGATTTAAAGATAACGGTAGGTTGTGTCCGGTCAATTTTAGGGTTAGGTCGGAGGCTGGTTTTAACTACAGAGTTAGAGTCTAGGGTAGAGGGAGGATCAATATTAGGGCAACGATTTGGACAAATGTTGGATTTATTGTTGGGATTAGAACACGGGAATATTCTGGAATTATGACTTGGTCCGCCATTATTACTTGGATGAGGCGAACCTACTCCCATGTCCTGTTTAGGGAGCCAAAAAGTCAGTCCTACCGATATTATGCGGATACTTTGCACGGACATCAAAATTCAATGGGATGAATTCATGTTGCTCGATTGTAGCACTTCTCCTAGTTGTTGTTAGTTTAACGGAAGTGGCAGTAGTTGCAGTACCAATACAAGAACTAATTCTCTCCAAGTAGAAAACTTTTTCTTATGTGTTTTAGAGGTCAATTCGTCTGCTTGTCATAAGGTCTATCGTTCAATATTTAAGCAAGTTCTCCAGACCGTGGTATATTTCAGTCGCGAATCCCTTGCACACCGTCCGCTCGGCGTGAAAACGCAAGGTCATGTCAGAATTTCGACAGACACTGTCAACACGACTAAGAACTGTGTGGTTTTTGTCACGGTACGTTAAAAATTTATTATCCTAAAGAGCATCTCACGTTTCGCCTCCCTGTTAAACTACTGACTACCGTCTCAAAAATATTTACTCAAGAAGGTAACTTGTGTTCGCCAAGACGCAATATAACATAACCTATTCTACTTTGCAGGATTTTTAGCCAATCAAAATCTTTATGCGCCATCCCATATAGATGCATGTAATTACTACAGCGGGTGACTCGGCCTTCAGTATAAAACATAACCATAACCTAAGAACAAAGATATTACCGACGCCGTACTGACTTGCTTCTGTATAAAAGTTGATAACAGATACTTAGGGAATTAAGACAGATGGATGGTTGATAGCAAATGAGAACAACATACCTCACGCTTAACCACAAATGTGTCCCCTTGTTTTGTCGGATTTAGGGTGGTGAAGAACTTATCCAGTCTAGAGAAGGACAGACTTTCCTAACAGTAGATGTGTTATCTCTACATGTGTTTTCGCTTCGATAAGGCTACTAAAGTAGGGCCGTTATACTGACAATCATGCGGCATAGGCCTAGGATATTTTAAACGTTCTAACATGTTGGCTTCTAAATGCGCTTTTTCATCTACTTACAAAAGCCAATGCGGTTAAAATAGTCACTTTAGTTATATGAGGCTTTCTACTAATTTTGAAAACCGTTGTAAATTGAAATGAACTCCTTAGGAAACGGGCAACAAATATTCTTTCGTTTACGTCATTGGTAGTGATCTAGGTCTTTTTAAATTTTGTAACAAAAGAAGAAATATAACTCTATTTCAAAAAGAGCTTTAATCCGGAGATTTTTAGACCGTAGATTGTCTAGTTTATTAACGCTCTTCGTAAAGCATGTAGCATGATGCACACTCATTTTCAACATTTTCCAAAATTTATATGATGTTCTTTAAATAGAGTTTAGAAATTTTAGATTTTGCTTCCACAGTCTGCGGTTTGGAAATCCTGAACGCAAGCGACACGATGGGTCAGGTTCAAATAGGTTAAGCGGGGAAACTTTCTCAAATGGAAGAATGCTTTTTCCTCAAGCAAAACATTAACAGAAGATATAGCGTGTCACAAAATAAGTACCAGAAAAAAATTGTATGCGTTAAAAATAAGTTGAAAAATCAGAACTGTTTAAATAGCCATTTATACAAGGTGTGGATTTTGCAGATAGTCAGAAGGAGACTCATTCAGAAGCCGGCACCCTGATATGGCCGAAATATTTCGGGATTATGCTGCGAGATAATAAATATTACAACCATACTTAAGTAATCATTCCTAATCGCTGCTTTTTTAGAGATTTAATTAATATTTTATGAAGCAACACATTTATTGTATATCCGTTGATGCAGATAAGTCATGACTGCCAATGACTGCAGGTATTCTATGTGACTTCTATGACCGTTAGTGCCGACGGTAACAATGTTGGCATCTGACACTCAACTGGTTGCATGTTTTTTGTGTCTGGGGCCGTTGCTATATTAATAGTTTTCATGCAGTGTGTCAGCTAACCCATGAAATGTTAACCAAAATTCCAAAATGCGTTTTACACTCGACAAAAGCTGAAGTAGAATTGTTATACTAATCCCCGTGCAGAAATATCTCATAATAATTCAGCTACTTCATGATGCCGGCTTTTTAATTCACATCTCCTCGATCGCCTGCAAAATCTCACTTTGTAAAAATGACTAAGTAAGTAGTATGATTTTTCCTCATTGATTTTCATTCCCTTATGAATTCAAATATATCCTATGATAACATCTACACAAATACTCATTCTTTTACCTTTCCGGTTGGAAATTAGGCTTTTAAATTTTACACTCAAGTGACAAGTATAATTTGGACTTCAAAACGTCTCCGATTCCCGAATAATTTGGACCCAACATGCCTGCAATACTTCTTTGTCAGGCCGCATGTTCGAGATTTGATTCTTGGCTACACGCTCAAAGCAACAGTGATGGTTTACAGCATGTCAGTCAAGATCAATTCACTCGAGTTTGAAGGCTGCGAACGCAGCCTTTAATCAAAGAATAACTGACGGATATAGCCATCACGGCACCTCTGTCTTCGCCTATAAGGTGCATTGGGTTCTTGACGCTATTTTTGATTCCTGTCCCCATACCATTTGGGCGACACTAATTTGTCCCTATTTACTGCAGAATGCTGAGGAAAAACATGTATTTATTGTATCGTAGTATCTTTTCTAGACGCAGTTTCAAGTCTCTCACTAACTTACTGTAAATATAATGTCCTTTTAATAATTCTTCTGTAACAGGGATACTTTGGTGCTGCACCTAAGTATATGAGGCGATCCACCGGATCCCCTAAGTCAGCCAAGAAATTAGCCGGCTTCAGAACTCCGTACGGAATCGCCGCGGCCTCAATCTGAACACCAAAGTGAATTTGTATTAGATGGTCATCATGAGGAAGTTGTTTGACGGAAAGGAGATCTGGGCAGTCTGTGAGAGATAAACGTGGAAGCCTAATCACTTCCATATCGTTTGTCTCCGACGGATACCGAAACAGAGGTTGCAGGACAGCATCCTAGACAGCGAAGTTTGCGACCAGACTGGAAGCCTCAACATCCCCGTCATGCTGAGGCAACTGCGACCATGGTAGAGCGGACATTTTGAGGAGATGAATGCGAACGCCTACAAAAATCACTCACCCATAGATATGTCGCCACTGATGCCTACCGGCGAGATCAAATCCGGAGCTACAAGGACACCTTTAAGAATTACTTGAAGCGGCTACAAATCGACCCATAGACTTAGGGAGAACTCATGCAAAATAGCTCGAGAAATGCACTGAAGACTGGGGCGGCAACTGCCAGAGGCGAAAGAGAATATTCTGAGATCCGCAACACCAACAGCCAACCCTCTCAACATGTCATCCTTGTTAATTAAGATCCCGCACGCGTATCAGACTCAACGGATTGGCCTCCTAGGACATCTCCGGTCTTAAAGTCCCAATATCCCGACAAAATTGACTGCTGTCTCCCCAACCGCATCTACTCTACTCCTTACGGGGTTCACTACGACGACAGCACTCACCACCGATGCTCAGCATTCCCAAGCCTCGTCGTTGACCACCGCTATCTCCACCATCCCTGCGCCAATCTGCTCCTTGACGATGGCGACCAGCACAGCTGTCATTCACGTCAAAACCTTCCCGACGTCTCATCGACCATCACCCCAAAGCAAGCGATATGGACTAGGTCTCGAGTTTTCATCATTGCAATTGCCCGCCATACTGCGGCTGACGCACCAGTGCCTGGGGATCCCACACACACTCGCCGCATCCCCTTCGCTATCCACGCAATTTCGTGCCACTCATGGGCCTATTCGGCCACATGCGTATCCACCACAGAGAAATTCACCGAATTGTCGACATACCTACCACACATTGCACATCCGCTAACTCTCCTATCTCTGATTCTATCAACTTCGTGTCCACCCATCCGCCCACCTCTATCAACATTAAAACTCTAACCGATCCAACATCCCCCAACTCATCCCCTTAAACAGACACTGCATATTCACTTCACGCATCGGTCAGGTTGGCCACTTGCGAATCCATTAAAAGAGGACTGGCAAACAGGTGCCTGGATCGCTATCATACACCAATTTATCCATTACCTTCGCACATTCATTCATCGTCTGGGCTTATTCGATCATAAAACCATTCATGAAAACCTGCAGTACATCGTCGCAGATAAGACCACATCACCACACATGCACATTGCAGACGTCGATGGTAGAGGTTACTCAGCTGGTTCCAATATTTCCAGACCCAACTATTCATACCAGTTTCAATACAGATCTTGCAAATGGAATTCCTAAACAAAATTCTTTAAGTTAGTGCAACAAACCGTAAACAGCACGCCCGGGGGATCTGCCACCAAAGTTAATCTGTGATTCACAGACCTTTGTTTTTAAACATACCCCTAAACGATACCTTTTTGAGTACGGTAGGTGGACTAACTCATGAAATGTCAACCGCCATTTTAAACTAAGTTTTCGGTCCGAAAATATTACTTAAGTAGAGTTGCAAAATTATTCATCTTGCTGTTTAAGTCTATAATAATTCAGTTACCTCAGGATGCCGGCCTTAGCATGAACTTCTGTCCGGCAGCATGCACAAGCTTTACTCTGTAAAAAATGACTACATAAGCAGAATGCATTTTTCTCACTAATATTCAATGCCCTTAAAAATTCAATTATATTTCATGGAAAACATGCGCACAAATATTCATTTTTTTGCTGACTCCGTAGAGAATTACATCTTCTTCGAATTTTATACTCGAAGGAATATTATAATTCGGTTTTAAAAGACTGTTCTAATTGTCGAATAATTTTGAACCCATCCTGCTGTTATACTTGCATTCAGGGTTTCTAAATTAAAAGCCGTATATTTTCCGTGTAAGGAAAAGCACACATTTCTCCACGGTATCAAGAGGAGAACATACGGTTTTCATAAAATTAAGCAGTAGATTTGAGCAATATTGTTAGCTTTACAAGCCACATTGGTAGATGCAGAAACATGACGTTTTATGAACGGTCATTTCAGGGTATTAAAGATCTGACAATTAGCAACTTTTCTGAACCCGAATTATACTCTTCCTTCGAGTATGAAATTAAAGCAAGATGTAATTTCCTAACGAATAAACAAAAGAGTGACTATTATTATGCATTTTTTCATAAAAAATAATTGAATTTTTTAGAGCATCGAAAACCAATGGGAAAATTGCAGGCTACTTCAGTAGTCATTTTTACCGAGTAATGTTTTTGGATGTAGAAGGAAATACGTTCATTCGAAAGAAGACACACTCGGGCTACTGGATCGTTATAAAATTATGCTGAACGGGGATTAATTTTACAACCAGACGTAATTAATCTTTCCGAAACTAAAATGCATTTCGAAAGTTTGGCCGACGTTTCATGCATTAGCCCACTTACTGTAGATGGGGCGCTCACCGATCGTTTTACTGACCTCACTATTCCCGTTGGCCGACAACGACTAATAAGCTAAAAATGGCATTTTAGTCTCCATTGTGTTCGTCGGTAATATTATTCTGTCTTTAGTACGCGCGGCTATGCGACTGCTGGTTGGATTTGAGAGAAACACTTAAGGTACAACGGAACGAGTGAGTTCCGTAAAATTGATCGGTGAGCACCACTCTCCCGCAGTTCAAAAACAAACTATTTGCTTTTGACGCTATGCCTTTTTAATTCAAAATAACGCCAGTATAACACCTGTCAAAAGTTAAAAGGTTTGCAAAATCTGGGAATTGGATGTATCAGGCTGATGACGGCCTACAAGCCAGCAAGATTTATGCCTGAATTTACTGTCTTTATCGGCGATGATTATGTGCCTGTATTGTCAGCTGTTCTTCAGATGTTGGCGGATACCATAGGACGAATGTGCCCGATAATGTGACCGTGAACACTCCTCTACCATCGTTTCCCTATTTTTTTCGTGCTGACTTCTATTTACTCCTCATATCATATAATACATTAAATGTCCAACCACTGTTATTCGAAAATCATTGCTCTAAAATTTTCGGACAAAGCAAGAAATACTTCTTAATTGCTGTGCACTCTATACGATAAATTGAGACAATAATTCCCAGCTATAGGCAGGTGCAACGATACGTCTTTGGCAGGTGCTATTTGAGAGTGTACCTATCACTTGCTTTTTAGTTATTTCGTTTAAAAGAGATTGCCCTTCGGGACCGGCCCTTGTTGTACTAAGCAAAACGTCTCAGAATTGTGGCTAAATGAATTAACACAGTGCTCCTATCTGGCTGCTGAATGCCCATTTTAATGAAAGTGGAGCCAAATATGGAGTTCTTTAACGTTAAAATGTAATTGACGGTGTCATAAACTTGATATAATTGGCTTATCGAGAGACGAAGTGGTTGTTATATGGTTGTTGTTGAATGCGATTATAACTAAAGAACACGACATTATGCAATAAAATGAACTAAAACAGTTCGGCCATTTTTAAGATTTACGCGGGCGTGGTTTCCTTAAGAATCTCCGGCTCGAACCTTCTGACTCTTTTAAAACAAATTCTCTGACTATTTGAGGGCTGCAAAAATTCCCATTGTAAAATTCAGAGGGCAAGTTCGTGAGCATACGTCTGTTTTCGATAAATTCTCTTCAGACCTGCACATTTATACGGCTATTGTATTAATGGCTTAAAAGATACGGACAGGTAAATAATTAAGCTATAGCGCGGGTTCAGGGAGGGAAGGTGAAGATCTATGACTTTTAGATAAGAAGAGCCATTTTTAGACAGAAAACGTATTAACTGACACAATTAAGAGGCTGAACGTAAGCGTTTGTTTTTCTTTTTACATTGAGTCAAACATAAGTATGTAAACAGATATCACCTGATGTTTGAAAGATTGAGCATTATATTAACCAGTCGTTCGTGATCTGATACTTATTAAAATGTTCACGTTTTCTCCTAAAAGACATAAACCGGCCTGATCTGATAGCGTAATTACCTTGGTTTTCTCCAACATATGAAGCACAGTACGTGAGTTTATTTTACTGCCAGGGTGACTGAAGCGACTGGTGAAGTGTTCTGATCGTCCTTCTTTTGGTTTATCTATCATAGCGGACTAAGTAGGCGCATCTTTACTGAAGCCAGTAAAATGTGCCACGAGTCTGTTTTTTGCATTTATGATCCAACAAAAGATTTAACATCACGTGTTTGGAAATAAAATGTGGTTCTATACACTATTTTGTCAACTGACCGTCCCTTTATTCAGTTTTATCGTAATTAAAATAATCACATTATAGGCTTTCAGTCTCTAGCTCTCTTTTTGGTGCATTAAGTATTAAAATCAAGCTGTTTCATATATACAACTCTGTTTTACGAAAAAACAGTATTATTCATTTGGATAACATCATATTTCTGCTGAGTCCTTAGACCTTGAAACCACCTCTTTGAGTAATTAATTTACTCTGAAGCGAGTATTTTATATTGTTTCCTCCTTTGACATAAAGCAAAGGCAAAGAGTTCTATTTGCCCTTCATAAACCACAATCAGGCAGATACAACTTAAGCCGTTTGTCGATCTCGCGAGAAAACATTATTGCATTTCTGAGTCGATAACCCAAGCACATTAAAAAAGGAAGTCTTTTCTTTAAATCCACCAACGTGTGACGTATAAGAATCGAGTAGTACACGTCAATTGCTCCCCAACAATAATCGATTTTAGAAAGTTTCGATTGCGTCCTACTTTTAGTAAAAAGCGGTCTGCACAAGCCCCCACCATCAAGTATCCTTAGCTGTCTACATAGAAAAATGCATAAAGCCCAGTGTTTGACCTTATTTGGCATATAAAAGGATTACAAGTAACGTTTGTCTTGTTTTCATTCTGTGGAATTCGCAGCGGATTCTATTTCAAAATGATGGCAAAGGACCGTTTAATTAGTCTCGCTTGGTTGCTCATATGAATAAATTTCATTCAGGAAATGTGTTGATTATGAATAAGTTACCAGTCAGTTTTGGCCGTTCTAATTAATTAGCTTTGTATTTGAACTCAATCGTTAGTCAGTCACTAACGCTATTCTACGTGTGCGCTTGAAGTACCTTTTTAGATGACAATTTTTCGTCCGTCTCTCTAAAGAAAAAACACCTTTAGGTTTCTTTCCGTAAACAAATTTGGCTAAACTTCATTTTGGCAGGTATACTTTGCTCCAGGCAAATTGTCTGGTTTGCTAATTTTTAGTCAGTCTCAATCAAATTAAACTTATCGAAACGACTGCTTACATGTGGACATTTATTTACCCGAAGGGCTGCAGCTTACCTGAAATTGCAAACATACAAAAGGACGGAGTGAATCAGAAAATCGAAAGGTGCATGCATTTCGGCTGACTGTCTTGATATTTAGGTGGCCTGTTTTTCGTGCGCCATTTACCTTAACATATAAACTGTCGGCCAAAAAAGGCTTGCTTACTAAATGTCAATTTCCAGAGTGCTTTAGAGATGGCAGTAATCCGGCAATATTTACGCCAAAGACGGTTAGGTAGCGCTCTCGTTGCCGAGATTACTAAAATTAAAACCATCTTCTGAGTGTCTCAGTTAAATCAATTCATTGGGAGGTACTTTATGCAGAGACAAATGCTTAACCGATCTTTACTGTCTATTTTCACGATAAGGCCGTAAGGACGTTCACAAAAAAAAACCAGTTGCGAGTTATGGAAAAGCTCCTTCTCTCTGTCGCAGTAGTCGGCAGGATCATGTAGGGGTTAGTTTTTATAGAAGGCATTCGCGAAAAATGCGGGATAATTTACGATGGCTTCAGTTGGTCACGATAAAATAGTCCTTGCAGAGGCATGGTGAAGTAGTTATGCCGCTATATAATCTTGTTTAACAAAAGGTGGCCTTCTGCGTCCAGCAGAAACCTTTTCGTCGATGGAATTTTTAAGCTGAATGCCGTTTATGACAGCTAAAATATTGATGCTGCTTGGTCTCTTTTTTAATATTATCACTGTTCCACATTTTGAACGTTTCTATGTGACACGCGAAATATCTTGACCGTATTATGGGAAGGGAAACTAGGCTTTATACTATTCACACCCGCAATACAATCTCTTTGGCAATGGTATGTTATGTAACCCAGTAGAAAAACTGTAGTTGACTACGGCGCTAACGTCAAACGTGATCATGTCTGTAATGTGTAGCCCTAACCCTTAACCACAAAGTAATTAAGGGAAATTCAAACTTAACTGCGACTCTAATCCTCGGCCTTAAATTTTCAATCCAAACACTTAAACCCCGGCCCAAACTCCTAATTCTAATTCCAAACCCCAACCTTAGTCTCAATTGCGAATCTAGATCATAGCCTAGTGCGGACAACCTCAGCCCTAGACAAAGCATAACTCGGGAGCTCCACACTTAGGGGTTGGGCATGACTGACGACGGCTAATAAGCCAGAAATGGACATTTTAGTCTCCCTTGTTTTTGTCGGTAATGCCATTCTGCCTATATATCATGCGCCGCTATGCGGCTGCTGATTGGACTCAAGAGAGAGAGCCCGTAAGGCACAACGGAACGAGTGAGTTCCGTAAGAACGATTGGTAAGCGCCCCCTACCATAATACAACTCTTAATACTAGCCCTAGTTTCAACTATATCCCTAAGTTGCCCGATGCGGGCAATTTTAACGTCGATTCTGAGTCTTGAGATTTTATACTTTAGCTAAGGGACTAAACAAGCTCTCTCTTTTGCGTTTAATTTTAAATTCATGGAATTGCAACTAGGTAGTTTAAATTTAATAACTTTGGCATGTTTTACTGACTGAACGGCCAAAAATTAATGCGAAAAGCAATAGAAATTCCGAGCATGCAAGATCATCGGCTTGGAGCTCGAGGCTTAGGTACTTAGATCGCCGAGCAACTAAAAGTTTTGTTCTTTCGACGACAATTTCAAAGCCCGCCGACGCATGAATGACACAAACAAATATGTCGGTTTATGCTCTAGTCTCAACTTGACTTCTAAAAGGTCTTGATGAAAATCTTATGTCTTCTTTCACGCAGAGGAGTGACCTGAGCACTGGAGTAGCCTTTCAGTTCACTATTCATTTTTTTAGAATTTGGTATTTTAGCAACTTTTCTCATAGTCATCCCTTTTTAGGCATTTTTTTCTCTAGTATCTAGCAGTAAAACTGGACATCACAACGTGAATATGACGGACTCTGTCACCAGAGTAATTGCCTCGTCATTGACACCTATCATGTAAAACATTAAACGACTGTCATGCTTGATTTTTGATTTGTGCGATCGTCGCCAAAACAGTAGAGGCTATGGAAACGTCCTACCGTCCAGAATGAGAAGGAAGACAACAGAATGAGAAATAATTAAATATACGGGAGGACTGACGATAACACAGCCATACAGATAAAAATAGAGTTGCACAGGTATAGGAGAAAAGGAAAACAGGATAGTTCAAAGTTCACCATTTATAATTTGCATGAACATATATCAGTTTTCATTATTTCGCTAAGTACGCTTAGTCAAAAATTGAACATGTAGTTTTTGTCATATAGCAGCTCAGACATTTATGCCTAAACCGATAAAGCGGTGGTATAGGGTAATATTGCAAATTTTCCTGCAAACGTCGATGAAGCGACGCTGGACTTCTTGCCTAATAGGCATGAAAGGCGATCCCTTGAACGATAAAAATACCACATTTTAGTTCACTTAGAAGCTTAGTATCAAATGTTTATCCAGAAGAACGGAAGAGTGGGATTAACTAATGTAGTCCTCTAGACAGGACATGAGAATAGGCACACCCAGCTAAATTAACAAACGGTGAACCTACGCGTAATTCCGGAGAGGGCAAAACATTCCTTTTTCATAACCCTAACAATACCCCAAATATAAAACTAAACTGTTGCCCTAATCTTGACCGAAAGCCTATGTTAAGCGTTAACTCTGCAGGTAGCACTAGCCCCATTTTAACCCTTATCTCGCCTTTATCCTTTAATCCAACCTTAAACACAATCTATGTCCCAACCCTAACCCCTACCTTAAACCTACCCTTAATTTCGTTAAAAGCTGGCTCAAAGTCACCCATATTATAGGCGACCTCCATTCTCATGTCCTCCTTAGGGAACCACGTATGTCAGTCCTACGCATGAGAGTTTCACTGGAGCAGTAAATAGTCATAAGCGTATCGTTTCAATTTCGTATTCAATTCAATCATTGAACACGCATCTGCTATGCATCGTTTCACTTTCGTAATCAATTCTATCATTGAACACGCATCTGCATAGCACGCATCTGCATAGCACGCATCTGCTATGCAACGGGATACTTATAGAAAGTAACAATGTTTGTATTCAACAAAATAGACGCCCTATGATACAGTGGTTGTTTAACCCTCCTCTGAAATCCGACTCGTTAGTTGGGGCAGTTTCTTCATTTCCCTAAATGGGATAGTCGCTCGGCGATATATATCGGCTGATGCTTTAGCTGGAACCATTGTGAATTCGCGCTGTCGAGCTTTTAGAACTAATTTTAAATTAGACGCGATGAATTTTATCGGTAGATTCGACAATCACGTGAGCTACGAGTCGCTTAAGTCTTTCTTCTACAACCCGCAGTCCATCAAGTAATGCACTAAAATCCGCCATGAGGATTTGCTTGATCAGAGTAATCAGTCATTGCGTTAAGAGACAGTACTGCTAATCCAAATGGCCGAGTAGCTACCATATTATTAATCAACACTGGCGGTGCAATTAGGGAAATTAGCGTTTGGGATGTGTGTAGGTAGGAGATCATCCTACTATTTGCGACCATCTACAGTGAGTGCGGATCTACCAATTGTGATTGCTAAGTGGCTGCATAACAGTCGCAAATTACAAATGCCGCAGTCCTTACACATCCACTTTCCCTATCTCTTCCTGTCGTGCTTGATCGGTTCGAACTTAAGTCCACATCTTTGGGCGAATCAAACTTTTCATTCCGATGATTAGGTGGCTTTATTTTCATATCCCCCCGGCCATCTTTCTACTATGTTTTGATGCTCAAGGATCGTAAGTCGAAAATATGATTATCCTCGTTATATCAATACTTTAGGTGGGAGATTTTAGTTTGACAGGATAATAAAGGGGAACAATCGTGTAGTCGGTGCACTGAGCATTACTTTCAAGTCGGAAACTATTACTTCGTCTGAAGGTAGTAAACTTTTGTTTAGGAGCATTCTCTGGAAAGGGTGCACCATTTCTGGCTGATTTGGACATTAAGTTTTTTACTTTTTCCAAAAATGAGCGCATTAAATTGAAGTAAGACCTCAGCCACAGGCCCTTTGAGAAGTTTTAGCGAAATCCCTCAATTAGAAGGTGGTTTGGCGGATTTAAATAATGCATTTATCCCACGCGTGAAAGACTTGTCGGCCGGGGTGGGATTCGAAGCCACAACAGTAAGGGTAATGCTTCAGCATAGCCAACACGTTAACTGCCAAAGGTACAAGGCTCCGATCGGTAGCCGTGTATCTTATCACTTTTGGGTCAAGTTACCCACGCAGCTGAACTTCACCAACTGTGACATAGTAAGTTGGCTGTCCAAGCATTTCAACGAAATGGTTTTGCATAAACCTGACAACTTTGCCGCCCACTGAAAGGCTATCCGTGTATTCCGCCTACTTTCTGCGGAAGTAAGCATTGCTCGAGTTCCTGAAGGATTTATGGGTGACCACACCCCGTATTTTGACAGCAGTCACCTAGAGAGGGCGAACTGCGAGGACTACGGTCCCGGCGAATTTGTCATCGAAAAATTTAAGTCCTCCTTTTTGGCAGCCAGAGACCGACACACAGGGTCAAGCAATCGGCCAGGTATTTGTCTCGCCTACACGAGGCTGCGCTTGGTGGCAGCATGCGAGAAACTGAGCCATGTGTTAGGAGCCTCGACATTTTTCTGTGAAAATTCGACAAACACCAGACTGACCAACAATCCTAACTACGTCACCCGGGATCTGACACGCATGAGCCCATGACTATGGAACTTCTACTTCAGAAATCATCTTCTCAAGTGTAGATGTGTCACACTTTCCGTGTCATATTTACGAGCCATTCCAAATCTTTGCTTCCTCAGTACATAAACATGGTCGGCGTCTGACTTGGCTGGAGGATTTCTCCACTGTCATCATTAAAGTGCAAATCTTCTTTTCAGAAACTCTCCTGATCCCGAATTGAATGTTCGAGTAGTGCCCTTGGTTACTGAAAGCCTACGTGCACATATGTTATAACTTTCAAAATAATTAGTCGTATTCATGGGGCCTTAATACTTAGAAAAGCAGCGGAATGCTTCCGGCAATCAAACCTATCTGAGAATCCATCCGTAGCTACCGAGATCTCTCTTTTTCCCAAACAGGCTTTGCCAAGGGATTTTAGTAGAATTCTGCACAAAAATGCGCTAATGTGAATATCGTTGACCACCGCCGCTTACCCTCATTGCAGGCCATGTTATCATTGCCATCAGAAATAAGGACGAAATCGGCTGCACACCGGCATTCATTCTTTCTGCGGTCGCAGAAGCTGTTGCCGTAGAGTTTGCTGCAGAGGGAATCACCGACGAGCTGACAGTTAACTGCGGACATGCGTTGAAGAACGGAACTACCAGGGGCAGCGGAGATGCAACGGATAAGGAGGATGAGGAGAATGTTTAACTCCGGGGGGAATGACCAGGGAATCACTGTTCTCATAGGGGTGTGTAATTTCTAGGGCTCGAAAACATTGTTTCTGTTCTTTCGTGCAGTAGACAAAGCTAGCAACTTCCCTGGAGTGCCCGAATGAGTATTTATAGTAGTTGGGCGGAGTTCGGGACTGGCTCGATTCTTCGTTGCAAAGAGATTTATCCATCCAATCATAGAGCGCCATTAGATATATGCATGCCTTATCAAAGTGATGATTGGCCTAAGCTGTAATAGGCCTTCTTGTGGCACAAAGGACTAATCCGCAATTTCCCGCTTGTTCCCCAACTTTATGCACCTATAGTACTGCCGCTTATTAAAGAAGCAACTCTAGCGATGCGTTCGCCAGGAATATTTACTTAGTATATTTTTTAAAATCGGCTTGTCATTAGGACGTTGTCAAAAAATTAACGAATTGACTTCCCCCAGCGGCCATGAATATTAATCAGCTTGCCAGCTTTGTGATATCAATTATGTCGCCATGAAATGTCGGCCATCCGTACTGCCTCAGAAGGGTTTCACTGAAGGTGTAAGGTATCGTATACTATGGAATTAACACTACATACTACGTTCCGTCTTCGAGCATTCAACTTTCTGCAAGGTGATGACTTCAAAGACTGCGTATGAAAAATATACTTTTATTATAAAACCATAGGATCTATTTTACCATCGGTCCGGGTACATTAAGCATTCAATTGATTGCAGTGAATTCTAAGTATAAGTAGAACGTTTCTAATGTCCTCGTTATATTTGGACGTATTATTATCAGAGAAATAAAGCAGGGGAATTATTTTATGCAATTTTGCAGAATAAAGGGTAAAGTCGAGTTATATTCCTCTCTGCATAATAAATATGGAAAAAATAACTATGGCAGAAATGTTCGGCTTCTGTCTGGATGAGTGAATATGATCTTCCGTACTATCAAATATTGGGAAGGCATTTGCATTTTGGGCCCTCCAAGGCGTCGGTGGTCATTTTCAAAATTCCAAATACCTCACCCAAGCAGACAGTATAAATCTTGGCCCATTAAGACTGAATTTGCACAAAACGAAACATAACAACTACGTCTGCCTCTTTTTATTGTCACACCACATTTCAGCTCCGTTATCACTTATTCGGATATTTTGATATCCAAAACAACCCCCTCCCAAACTCACCCTCGGCTGATTGGCCGGCTCGATAAAACCACTGCTACGTGGCAAGGGGAAGAGAGAAATAGAGGGGGGGAGAGTAAGGTGGACTGCCGTCGCATATTTCTCACAATAAGCAATCTGACACGCCTGAATATAGCACGGTGCGCTAGAAGCTGAGACTGGGAAGGTTGCCCGCTGACGGGATAATTCAGACCAGACGGTTGTGTTTTAAATGGCCGATTGGTGAAATGCAATGGCTCCTTTTTAGACTGGTCTCTGTTGCACTCTCATGCATCTGAGATCCGATCCGCGCAGTCCCCTTCTGTAAAGTCCTAATATTTGGCGTGAGGACTGTGTCATGTATGGGATAAGGGCAAAAGAAACGTTTTAAGCACATCGCACTTTCCTCACCACAAACAATTAGACGCTCATTTAAACTATTAGGGTGCAATAAAATTCGTTACTAGGAAGGCTCCCATCCGACAGGATAACTCGGTTCTCCTCCTAAGCAGGAAAGTCCAGCTGTAATGGCTCCCTCTTAGTGGGACCTCTAGTCAGTCAGTTGGGATTCGAGCTGCCCCCGTTCTGCTGTGTGAAATCCTGGTCCCTTGTGCGCAGGCAAGGGGTGTGTGGCTACAGTAGGTGGGTTAACTCATGAAATGTCAACCGAAATTATGAAATGCTTTTTCTTTTTGACAAAATTAATTAAGTAGTGTTGTAAAACTGGTCAGCCTGCAACATAATTCTTTAATATTTCGGTTACCTCAGGATGCCGGCTTTTAAACGAAATTCCTTCCGGCAGCATGCAAAAACAATACTCTGTAAAAAATGACTACGCATTAAGCATGAATTTTTCTCATTGGTTTTCGATGCCCCTACATGACCAATTATATTTCATGAAAAACGTGCATGCAAATATTCATTCTTTTGCTCATTTAGTAGTCATTTATGTCTTCTTCAAATTTTATAGTCGAGAGAGGGACATAATTTGGTTTTCAAAAACTTTTCCGATTCCCGAATAATTTTGAACCCGCTCTACTGTTAGACTTGAATTCAGAGTTTCTAAACTACAAGCCGTATATTTTCTACGTACGCAAAGCCACACATACCTCTGAAAAAATCAAAGGGAACCATATGGGGTTCATAAAATTTAGCAGTGGATTTTGTCCATATTGTTAAATTTACAAGCCACATTGGTAAATGCAGAGGCATGGTGATTAATGAACGGTAATTTTGCGGTACTTAAATGTCCCACAATAAGAAGCTTTTTAATACCGATTTATGTTCCTCCTCCGAGTATAAAATTAGATGACGACTTTAGTCTCTACCGAATGAGCAGAAGAATGAATATTTTTATGCATAATCTCCATGAAATTTAATACGACTTTCAGGGGCATCGAAAATCAATGACAAAGATTCATGCTACTTACGCAATGGTTTTTTACAGAGTATGGTTTCTGCATGCAATCGGAAGGAAGTTTATTCGAAAGACAACTTCCAGCGGTAACTGAAATATTATAGAATTTTGTTGTCTGCTGACTATCTTTACAAAAATACCTAATTAATCTTTTCGAAACGAAGACGAATTTTGGAAATTTGTCGATATTTTATGAGTTAGCCCACCTACTGTATGTCTAGATACGGGTTCTCGCCGCGCTAGTCGCATGCGTCGGAGGTGTGAAACACCCGGGGCTCGCTACCTCTACCACCGTATATGCCTGATCACAACCGACAGGAAAACGAGCTCCTACCCCTGTGGTTAGGGGCCTTGGACTGGTTGGACTCATTCGTTCAGTTGTGCCTTAGGGCTCTCTCTCGAGTACAACCAGCTGCCTCACGGTTGCGCTTGATATAGGCAGAATAATATTGCCGACAAAGATAAGGAAGAATGGAATGACAATTTCTGGTTTATTATCGGTTGTCAGCCTACAGGAAGAGTGAGTCCCGTATCAGGATCGGTAAGCGCCCCTTTTTTATTCGCGGTCGCATCCGAAAGGACAATTAGCCGGTGGCTCAGCGGTTAGAGACGTTGGACTTCTAACAAACAGGTCGCGGGATCAAGCCCCATGTGTTCCACATTTGGGGTTGAGCAAGATTGGCTGACGACGGCTAATAAGCCAGAAATGGCCACTCCAGTCTCCCTTCAGTTTGTTGGTAATGCTATTCCGCCTATGTATATATGCGTGTACTGGAAAATGGACATCCCGAGAAATGTAGGAGGAAAGTTAACCAAAATGTTTCTTGCAACGTTTTCCCAGGCGGCGCTGGACGTGCATCACGTGTGAAAACAATTAAAATCTTAGATATACAAATGGATCTATGCTGTGAGCTGACATAATGTTTTGACTGGCAATCACCTTCTTCATTTTTCTTTCAGATTTTTTCACATATTGTCTAAATCTGTTTCCCAATTGATTCATGAATCATCTGAGTGTATGGCCTTCCAAAATTATCTGCCTTTCTTACAAAGGCAGAATCTCACAATGCGCGTTTTATCAGTATCAAATTTGTGTTCGGTTTCTAGCGTGTTTTCCACACTGGGCTGGGGAACCAACGTCAAAAGTTTACATTATATAATCTGTTAAATTTCCTAAGGAGCGCATTTCCTTAAAAATAAATGTGTGTATGCCTTGGTAGAGGACGTTGTGAGACCACGTTGCGGTGTGCCTGGTAGTCATCCGGTGGATTCTAGGGGAATTACTTAGGAAGTCCTGCTTGGGCAGTAAACTTACTATATCAGATTCCAGACGTGGATTCCTGACGTTGTAGTAGGTTGGGCGGGTAATTTGATCCAAATTTAATTAAACTCGCGTCGTCCGGCGGGGACTCGTAACTCAAACGGTTAGAGCCTTGGCTTTACTAAAACCTTCCTCGTACTGCGTGGGTTCGAATTCCAACGAGGCGCCGAGTTTTTCAAAGAAATGGTCAATCCAATTTTCCTTGTCTTTGTCGGTAATGTTCTTCTGTCTGTGTTACGCGCCATTGTACAGCTGATGGTCGCACGAGACAGCATTTTGTCCAAAAATCTATCCAAAATCATTTGGACGGTGCCTACTGGCAACTGCAGAAGTGGCGGCAATCAGGTTACGCAAACCAGTCCTACGTGCGCTGAAGCACTTCGCACAAGTCCCACAGTTACCATGGGCCAAAGCTTACATGCCCGTCACGAGCATATGATTATTCGCCTCATCCCCCTTCTCCTGGCACTTTCGGTGACTTTGTTCTTCACTTCACTCACCCTCCCCCAAACCCCAACTACAGAATTACTCCTACTTGTCCGCAATTTCCCTTAAATCATTTCGATAAAAATATAAATGTCTACGTCTGCTGAGAATCTATCGAAAACTAACGTCTGCTCACCCAATTGTCTTTTGGATTATATTGGTGTCGGATGGCAAGATAAAGATTTTCGTGTCTTTTCCAGTTTCTCTCATCAGATCTTAATAGGAGTTGTAAAATGTTTTCAATCAGAAAGTGTTACTTAAATAGGGGTTTGATTTTATTACCAGAGATATTTCAGTTTTAACAGGATGCTCGCTTTTGAATTCGCACCCATTCGGCCGCCAGGAAAAATAAGTTTGGGAAAAAATGACTTTGTATGCAGCGCGGCTTTTTGCTAATGATTTTGAGAGTCTTTATAAATTTCAATATATTTTACAGAAAGCATGCACAAGATGTACTTAATTGCAATTATGTTGTTGTAAATTACGTCTTTTTTTAATTTCTGCGCTTGAAAACGAAGCACATTTCGGTTTTATAAGTGTTATTTTTATGGGTATTTAAGACCAAAAAATATCCGTTTACACAACACCGCATTTGTCTGTTTATAAAAACTGCGCATGAGTCACACACTATAAAGTTTTGCAGCCGCTATATGGG